ATTCTACCTGTTTATAAATAAAGTAGTTGAATATCGTTAATTGATCAGAACGGACGTATACAGAGCCTTGAGTTTTGGCTAGAGATTTAGTTAGAGAGAATTTCATTAGACTGTGAGTTAAGTAATCGTTAGAGAAGTAGCATCTAGATTTGTTACATATGTAAGGTCAGCTGTAATGAATCTTTGTTGCAGGGTCATTTGAAATTACACTAACGTACCTTTGAAGGGTTCCATAAAAGGAGTCTTTGCCACAAACTCTGATTTGCTAATCACTATATCTTTGGAACCAAATGTTGCAGACCTTAGATATTTCAAACTATGAATTCTGTTAGATCAAATAATCTTAGTTTGAAATATCAAAGGTTTAAAATATTGAGTTCTAAAGATATTGAGGTTTAAATATTTGATTTTGTTCCAAAGACTCAATTTCTTTTGTGTATTCGTACAGAATGAGGGCTAGTAATGACTTAGATGTAGTCCTAAATCCCAAAATTGCGCTAAAGAAACCCTGCCATCTTTAATTTTTTTTCAAGTATCAACTTCCTTTAATATTTATAAGGATTTGTTCATTTTTCAACCACAGACAGGTTAAAATAAAGAATTCTTTACAGTCGTATATTATTTTTTTATTTATTTGATTATGTTTTCTTCAAAAATAAACGACGGCAAGGCATGTTGGACGTTAAGAGATTGAGATACGCACGTTAAGAGATTGAGATATGGACGTTAAGAGATTGAGATATGGACGTTAAAAAATTGAGATACGTACGTTAAGAGATTGATGTATGGACGTTAAAAGATTGAGGTACGGACGTTAAAAGATGGAGAAATGGACGTTAAGAGATTGAGATATGGTCGACTAGAATAAAAAGGATGAGTAAACTATGGGTTATTTAAGATTAAGGTGTAAGGACTATTAAAAAATATACTTATTGACGAGTAGACGGCGTGATTAACATTTATTTAGTGCACGATTTATCAAAACTTAAAGATCACCACTGGAAGGAATGGTAGTGTACCCATGTTAGAACATCAGGTTGTATTAATACTTCAGGTTGCAGCAGTAAATATTAAATACTTGTTTGTTTCTTTGTTAGAAGTATAAATATTTATTGAAACTTTACAGCAGGGATGCAAATTTAAACAGTTTCAATGCATAAGTTGACGCCCAATTGTATAATTTTTTATAATGATAAAAATAAGGATGGAAAGCTAAAGGAACTTTATTCATTTGTGATCTTATAGGGATAGTCGACTTTTTTCAAATAATCCTTCAATAAAACAGCTCTAGGACTGGTGCCGTTCATAATTTTTTTAATCTTTCGTTCCATGTTCGTTTCCGAGGGTCTTGAAGTGGATCGTTGTTCACCTTAGTTCCCTTCAAAGTTTTGTTTCGTTTTTTTAATAAACGTTCGTTCATGAATTATACTGTTCGTGACGTTCAGATATGGTTAACGATGGTTGATCAATAACGGTAAAATTTATCGTTAACGATATATTTTTTATGAGTTCATTGTTGTAGATGGTAATTGAAAGTTTCTGTTCCACTGACGAAAAAATATCAGGAAAACAAAAAAAAATAGATCTTAACATTTTCATCACTAAATTATCTTGTGACGACTGGGGATTTTTCTTCACCAAAAACCGTTTGTTCCTCTTTCTTTAATTTATGATTGTTCGAGTTTATTAAAAAATCGTTCAAACTTTGGTCGTTCATTTTTTCGAACGATTTGCTCCGCATCACCCTTTAGGATTTGAAATACTGTCGTTTTAGGAAAAACTTAAGATCTCCATGTGTCAATAAAGATATTAAATATTTTTAGAAGTAGCTTAAGATACAACTTTCTTTAAGTCTAAATCGGCCCTGATAAAACAAATCTAACGTTTGTTCGTCCCCTCCTTTCTAATCTTCTATATTAAAATTTCAATGAATTTAGATAAACTTTACAAGAATTATACTTAACAAGAATTATACTTTACAAGAATTATACTTTACAAGAATTATANCTTTACAAGAATTATACTTTACAAGAATTATACTTTACAAGAATTATACTTTACAAGAATTATAGGTGTAAACATCGAACATAACATGTTATGGGAACATTTTTTATATATGAGCTGACAATTTATAAAAAATACTGATTTTTCATGTAAAAGAGAAAATAGATAATTACCTTGAGCTTTTATATAGCTTAACCCTTCAACATTATTTCACTTGACAGTCTATTTAACAAATCACCCTGATTCACCTGTTAACACTGTACAGTGTAGTCTAGCGTAGTCTCTATTCTCTACGCTACTGCTCTATGCCAAGTTGAAATCTCCAACCCCCCCCATACACACACCTAGTCCTTTACCTGCCCTACCCGGTCCGGTCCAACCCGACCAATTTTCATGCATTTGAAAACATAATAAATTCAAGATTTTAATCTTTATTTAATATTTTTCCAATTTATTGTGCATCTATAAGATTATTTCTTAGTATATTTTTGATCATTAAAGTCAAATAAAAAAGATTTCTTATTTTTATAAATGGCATTCAAAGAGCGTATTTGTATATTGTTTGATGGTTTGCACGGAAATGGTCTTTTTAGAAGTTTATATGATTTCAAAATTCTACAGCATGCATTATTACATTAATTACATACTTTAGTGCACTAAAGAATTCGAACTATATCCACTCCTTTAAAAACCTATAGTTGCGCCTCTAAATAAAAAGGGGGAGAAAACGGATTATGCCTGCATGCCCCCACATACCACGTCCACACTCCACATTCCTGAAATGAGTTTTTGCCATGTTGGCCTCTCTGTGTTGTGTATACACTACATTGTACAATTCCTACTTAACATTCAATGCATGCAATGTGTTGGTTATATGATTCATCCTGACCCTTTCTGATACACCCTCTCCCTACCCCATCTCCCCAAAAATATGTAAATTCCACCCCCCCCCCTGTTTTGTCCGCACCCCCTCCCCCTTGTCCTGAGTCCTGCTAGCAGTGTGTAGTAGATATGGGGAAAGAAAGTTTAAGCTGTTAGCTGGAGGAAAAGCCCCCGGCTTAGTTTTATGAAGGTGAACGGAAACGACGACATTTATGGCCTGCACACCAAACCAATGTTTACTAACCACTACACTCGATTATATAGGGCATCGATTTATTGTAAAGGATGAGTTTAATGACTCTCTAAAGGACTTGATCCTTTGCCACAAACTCAAATTTTCTAATTTCCATCTTTGCAACCTGATGATGTAAACCTTCATGATATTTCATTTCAAGCTTAGATTATCTAATCTAACAAATTTCATCATAGTTTGAAATATCTAAGGTTTATATCATCCGGTTGAAAAGATACGATTTCTTTAGCAACTTGAAAGTTCAATTCTGGGTTTTTCGTTTTTGCAAAGATAAATAATAAAAAAACAATTCTGAAACTCCATAAATACAAGAAAAAGACTGAGAAAGAATGTAGTAATTTTCTTTTCGAAGCCTCATCTCTTGTTAGTAACCCTGTAAACTCCGGAAACACTGTAAACTCCAGCGCATGTCAAGTACCGGTTCAACGTAGCTGCAACAGTACATGCAGAGATTTTACAATGCAAAACGGTACAATACACCAAATTAAATATCCTTTTCTTTTAACATTACAGTGGAATGTACAAAAGATGAAAACAGGGCCAGATACCCGGGCGAGGGCTGTTAACGGCAACTATCCTTCGTGTTTACAATATAACTTTGACATAGCTTTATTAGTATGTCACAGTATAACGTGAACTAACCCTATCACTTTAGTAATTATAAAAAAAAACAATAAAAAAAGCCGATGGGCAGTTGGCAAATTCCACGCATATGTATTAAAATCAAACATTATCCTATTCTATTTCATCGTTTATATTAAAATTCGAATGTGTTTCAATTTTAATTTTTCTCTTAAGATCTAATGCTTAACTGTAAATAAATGTAAACTAAATTAATTTATATTTACAGATAATTGTGAAAAGTACATATGGTTAAAAGAATATGGCATTAACATAGTAATTTACTGGATAATGATTGTACTATAAAGAGGCCAAGGGGTAATAATTGTACTTTAAAGGGGCTAAGATTTTAGAACATAATAGATAAGAGAAAGCATCAATAGTACAAAAAGTACAATACAGGCAGGGGCAGATAGAATTACACAAACACATAAAATGCACTATTGAGTATTGACCCTTTTATTTTCTACTCATAATCTTAGAATATAACTCTATGATATATAATTTATATATATATAATATATATAAAATATATAAAAATAGAATAAAACTCTATAATATATAATATATATATATAAAATATATAAAAATAGAATAAAACTCTATAATATATAATATATATATATAAAATATATAAAAATAGAATAAAACTCTATAATATATAATATATATATATAAAATATATAAAAATAGAATAAAACTCTATAATGTGTTATATCACCCTGTATCCTACTTTGCTGAGTTCCAAAGTTTGTAGTAAACACCCTGTAGATTAAGTAGTTCTTCATGAGCTCCTGATTCAACTATCTCGCCTTGGCTTAGGACAAATATTCTATCTGAGTCCTTTATTGTTGATAACCTAATAATAGATAAAGATCTAAATACAAAACTACCGTGAGAACCAAAAAACTGTTGAACATGAAGACGACATTACAGCAGCAATTATGTGCATTTGATGTTGTTGCAAACTAAGTAATTTTATTAGTAACTTATTAATTCACTCATTAAGTAACATTGGTTAGTTTACACTGCACAATTGTTGCGTTTCAAGTTCATTCGTCTATTTAAAGAAATGACTTGAGTTTAAAACTCGTTTTCCTATTCCAGAGTTGAATGGAAATTACTGTAGATAATATCAAATCGTTTCTTAAATTCAAAATTATTTAAATTGTAAACGTATTTCAAATATTGTCTTAAATGGGTTTTACTCGAGCTTTCAGTCATGCGATTTTGTTGGCTGATGATCTCATTAGATCGATTATTAGATCGATCATTAGATCAATTATTAGATCGATCATTAGATCGATGGTATTTTCAACAAAAACATCTAAACACTTGCTAAAATACCTGTGAGCAATTGTAATACTTGTTCTGCCCTCCTGAGCTTTATCCAGCGCATCCTAAACAAATATTCATAATATTGTGAACAGTATTAAAATTCAGTCTTTGCTACAAACTCTGATTTTCTAATCCCTTTATCTTTGTAACCAAAATTGTAGACCGTATACATTTCAAACTATGAATTCTGTTAGATCAAATAATCTCAGTTTGAAATATCAAAGGTTCACACCGTCAGGTTGCAAAGATATAGGAATTAACAAAATTTAGGTTTTAACAAAAACTAGTCCTTTCCTTTCTTGTTTATAAATGCTGCGCAATTTCATTTTATAATTTGCGGATTTTCTTGCCCCGGCTTCAAAAAAATTGAATACTTGCTATTGACCATATGTTCTTTATCTTAATATCATTACAATTTGGTTGCCGACATAAACCCTTAATATTTCAAACTTTGACGATATGATCTACATAGCAGAATTCATAGTTTGAAACATTAGGTTGCAAAGGTATAAGGATTAGACCATTTGAGTTTTAACGCGTGTTTTTTTCCTGCCTGTGAAACCTATGAAACCTCTTAAATTTATAAAGGCCTAATTAGTGTTTAGTTAGTTTAAAAGTTTTGATGTTTCTCTTCATGTTATTCTTGTTGAACTAAAAGAGGCTCTGAGAAGTTTGACAAAGAAACTAAGCCCTTGAGATTTTAAACTTAGATTAGAATTTTTAGTTTGAAATATTTAAAATCTACGACATTGAGTTGCAAGGATAAAGTGAAAATCTGATTTAGTGACAAAGACTCAATTCCTATTCAAATTAACATGTTAATATATTTTATAAACATATAAACTAATTAATTTAGTAAAAACCTGGACAATCTTCTCACTCTCTGTATCAAGAGCAGAGGTTGCTTCATCTAGAAGGAGTACCCTAGGGTTCCTTACTAGGGCCCGAGCTATTGCTATCCGCTGCTTCTGACCGCCAGACAACTGAGTTCCCTTGCTTCCGACTCTAGATAATTAAACCACATTACAAAGATAAAATCATGCAGGATTAGAAATTACTGAATGAGAATTACAAGAATGCAGTGCAGTTGTTGTCGAATATATCAATATACAATGATGACGACATTCGTTTTCAACTTTGGTTTTTACCTGCTTCCAAACAGCACAAGATAAACATAACCATGGAAACAAAGAGAACCTGTCAATTAACAGCTCCTCTTTGTTTACTTATAAACTTGTAATTAGAAAAAAGCTTGTTAGAAAAACTTAAATAGAGAAGTCGTCTTCTTATGAACGACAACCACTTTATAATATTGAAGACACACTAGCTATTAATAATGAAGACGCACTAGCTATTAATAATGAAGACGCACTA